TGAGGGAGTGGGGGAGTGAGTGAGTGAGTGAGAGAGAGAGAGTGTGTGTGTGTGTGTGTGTCAGCTCAATGTGTGTCTGTGTGTGTGTGTGTGTGAGTGAGTGAGTGAGTGAGTGAGATAGTGTGTGTCTGTGTGTGTGTGTGTGTGTGAGTGTGAGTGAGTGAGTGAGTGAGTGAGTGAGTGTGTGTGTGAGTGAGTGAGTGAGTGAGTGAGATAGTGTGTGTCTGTGTGTGTGTGTGTGTGTGTGTGTGAGTGTGAGTGAGTGAGTGAGTGAGATAGTGTGTGTGTGTGTGTGTGTGTGTGTCAGCTCAATGTGTGTGTGACAGCACTCATCTCCAATCTACTTAACTCATCTGTAAAACAACGAGATCTTCATGAGAAGAGCTGTCATACAATTACAGCTTTACTGTGATTTATGAATATCAAACAATATGCATTTTGCATTGCTCTGTGTGGGATGAGGAATCATGCAAACTCAGTACAAATAAAGTAAAACAACATTTGTGCAAAAATCACCAGTAGTGCAAAATAAAATGAATTAAAAGGACGGTAGTTTACAAAGATAGTAATCAATGAATCTAACAAATAATAAGTTACCTAAATATGTAATTAAAAAGGTTAAACCATAAAACATAACATATACACTCAAAACCAAAAATTATTCAGACAGAAGATATAATTGTTGATATTCTTTCACTAGAGGGTGCAGGACACTATAGTTCAGTTATGTAAGTGATAATATATCGCAAAGATATGATTATTACTAGTTGTGTGTGACTGAAGAGAGCCCACTAGCTGCTAGCTAACCGAGCTAAGCAGACTGTGATATAAGAAGTAGACGTTTGAATGTCTAACACAACACATTAGACAGTTAGTTTGCTGCTAAATGTAATTAGTAACATACCTGTTTGTGTTGAGTGGGTGCTCTTAAAACGTTTCGTGTGATTATTAGCTGTTAGCTCCATACCCCACACCGGCGCTAAACTCCGGACGCCTGTTACTATAACAACCAGCTGACAGATACCGATGTGCGCATGCGCGCGAAACTGCAACCAACGTGCGGCCGCTGAGTGCGCATGCGTCGCGTTCGTTTCGCGTTTGAACTTTTTGAGTAACCCGAGCAATATATTACCAAAGAGGCGAAATGTTTTAATGCAAAATTACATTACATGTTTTCGGCGCTTTTTTGTTTTTGGTTTGTTCCCAGAGATTTACATTTAATTTAAAATAATTTATAAAACGTGAAAAAAAATGTGGTTTAGATTGAGTCCACTTCTTTCTTCTTATGTATATTGTGTTTTCCTAATAAAATAAACAAATGTATAATATGTTGTTCATTAAAATAGACTCTGACGCTCCTTTAGATATCGTCAGATGCTTATCGGCCAGCGATTGGTCCGAACTCCTAGAAGTGGGCGGTCTTAATTACATGTTTTCGGCGCTTTTTTGTTTTTGGTTTGTTCCCAGAGATTTACATTTAATTTAAAATAATTTATAAAACGTGAAAAAAATGTGGTTTAGATTGAGTCCACTTCATTCTTCTTATGTATATTGTGTTTTCCTAATAAAATAAACAAATGTATAATATGTTGTTCATTAAAATAGACTCTGACGCTCCTTTAGATATCGTCAGATGCTTATCGGCCAGCGATTGGTCCGAACTCCTAGAAGTGGGCGGTCTTTTAAAAGACTGCTCCCAAACTATCCAATGGGGTGGTGGTACGACGTGACGCAGCCGCCTTCCGCGGTTTCTGATTGGACCGCATGTCCATGACTGCTCACTGTTGTGAACTTGAAGCGGTTTGATAAACAGAGATCAATCACGCCGACTGATGTTTGTGGGTACATAGTTATACAGTAGTGTACGTATTGGAACACATACATAAGGTAAGAATAAAGCTACTAATAAACAGTGTCGTATATTATCGCATGTGACCCTGGAGCACAAAACCAGTCATAAGTAGCACGGGTATCATACATTGTATGGGTCAAAATCATTAGGATATTAAGTAAAGATCATGTTCCATGAAGATATTTTGTAAATATATTAAAATGTTATTTTTGATTAGTAATATGCATTGCTAAGGACTTCATTTGGACAACTTTATAGGCGATTTTCTCAATATTTAGATTTTTTTGCATCCTCAGATTCTTACATCTTACTCCATACATCAATGGAAAGCTATTTATTCAGCTTTCAGATGATGCACAAACCTCAATTTTAAAAAAAGACCCTTATGACTGGTTTTGTGGTCCAGGGTCACATATGTGTAATGTGTAATGATGATCCAGACGAGTTTATGATAGCCTAACAACCCAGACAGAGAAGCACCATAGTGCCATGCTCTTTGCATATGTGTCATGGTAGTACCATAGAGTAATACCATGCTACACGAGCATTACAGTCATTCTGTGTGGTATATCTCACAGTACCATGTAATAGCATGCTGTGCCATCAGTGCAGCACTGAGCTGATCTCCTAACCCTGCTGTTGCTCTCCTGCAGGCCTGCGCTGAAGGATGAGCCGCTTTCTGAACGTGTTGAGGAGCTGGCTGCTCATGGTGTCAGTGATCGCTGTGGGAAACACCGTGCAGAGCTTCAGAGATCACAGCTTCCTGTCCCAGAAGCTCTACACAGGAACACCTGAATATGGTCAAGACCTGCGCTTCATAAGCATCACCTTTATTCTGTACTGACTCATTAACTAACGTTACCGTTGTTTATCGCGTGTACTGTCTATGAACACAGAAAGTATTTACATTTAGTCATTTAGCAGACGCGACTTGGACGATGGAAGCAATCAACAAAAGAGCAATGATATGCAAGTGCTATAACACGTCTCAGTTAGCTTAACGCAGTACATGCAGCAAGGGTTGGTTTTTTTATTATATAATAAATAAAAAGCAAACAAATAGATTAGAAAAAGAATAGAGCGAGCTAGTGTTAGAGGCCTTGTTTGCTTTTTGTTAATTGTGTAATAAATAAAAAGAAAACAAATGAATAGAATACAAAAAGATTAGAGAAGCAAGTGAATAAGTGCAGTTAGTAAATAAATAGAGTGCAAGTCTAAAAGGGGCAAACAAAAATTATATAAAGAATAGAATTAGAATAGAGAGAGTTAGAGGGTCAAATAAAGATGAAAGAGATGTGTTTTTAGCCGTTTCTTGAAGATGCTGGGACTGAGTTGGGCCGGTCGTTCAACCAGGAGCGAACATTTAATGTAAAAGTCTGTGAAAGTGATTTTGTGCCTCTATTTATAGAGCTTATTTTCTATCTTTATTTAGACACGTGTACATGTTTTAAAATACTGTATGTCTCGACACTATAATTTTTACTGATACATTTTTACATTTTAGTGTAGCAAACAAGAATATGAGCAGGTAGTTAAAGAACATTAGAAATTATGTGCTAAATGTCCTGATGTGTTATTCTTTAGTAAACGGTCTTCAGGCGAGAACCTTTGGCATATGGACTCTCCTGTCCTCCATCATCCGCTGTACCTGTGCCATAGACATTCAGAACAGAACGTAAGTATCCTGTGTGTGAGAGAAAAAGAGAGAGAGAGTGTGTGTGTGTGTGTGTGTGAGAGAGAGAGAGAGAGAGAGAGAGTGTGCGTGGGTGCGTGTGTCTGTGTGTGTGTGTGTGTGTTTCTGTGTGTGTCTCTCTTTGTGTGAGTGTGTGTCTGTGTATAATGTATGTCTGTGTGTGTGTGTCTGTGTGTGTCTGTGTCTGTGTGTGAGAGAGTGTGTGAGTGTGTGTCTGTGTGTGTATCTGTGTGTCTCTCTCTCTCTCTCTCTCTCTGTGTGTGTGTGTGTGTGTCTCTCTCTCTCTCTCTGTGTCTGTGTCTGTCTCTCTCTCTCTCTCTCTCTCTCTCTCTCTCTCTCTCTATCTTTCTGTCTGTCTGTCTGTCTGTCTGTCTCTCTCTCTCTCTCTCTCTCTCTTGTGTGAGTGAGAGAATGTGTGTGTGTGTGTGTGTGAGAGAGAGAGAGTGTGTGTGTGTGAGAGAGAGTGTGTGAGTGTGTGTTAATTTGTTCAGCCTAATCTTATAATGGACTAAAGCTCAGTTTGATAGATCAGATGATGCAGTATGAGAATGCATGGGTTCTTCACACCTCTGGACTCCTTTTAACGAACATTTAACGGCTCACAAACGCCTGACTCTGCTGGAATGAAGGTGACGTCTCTTTCTTGCCCTCATTCCAGGCTTTATCATATCACTCTGTGGACATTTGTTCTGGCGCTCGGTCACTTCCTGTCCGAAGCGTTTCTCTATAAAACCGCTCCTCTGACCATTGGAGTCATGGCTCCTCTGATTGTAGCCAGTGAGTTATCTACTCTTATTTTTGTAACATCTATTAGGTGACAAGTGAACATAAAATTACTCTGACAATATTGTAAAAACAGTAAGATTGTGAAATAATTTACTGCTCAAGAAATATTTCTTATTATTATCAGTGTTAAAAACTCGTTCCATGTCATATGTTTTGGAAACCATGATACACTACCATTCAAACTTCTGGAGTAAGAAAGAAATAATACTTTTATCCAGCAAAGACGCATTAAATTGATCAAAAGTGACAGTAAAGACATTTATAAAGTTGCAAGAGATTTCTATTTCAAATAAATGCTGTTCTTTTGAACTTTCTGTTCATCTGTGAATCCTGAAAAATAAAACATATCACGGTTTCCACAAAAATATTGAGCTGCACGACTGTTTTCAGCATTGATGATAATCAGAAATGTTTCTCGAGCAGCAGATCAGCATATTATACTGATTTCTGAAGATCATGTGACACTGAAGACTGGAGTAATGATGCTGAAAATACAGCTGCACATCACAGAAATACATTACAGTTTAACAGATATTCTCATAGAAAACACTTATTTTAATTTGTAATAATATTTCACAGTTATACTGTATTTTTGATTAAATAAATGCAGCCTCGGTGAGCAGAAGAGACTTCTTTGAAAAATAAAACTTTTTGAACAGTAGTGTACACCTGCATACAAAAATATACAGCATGGAGGTAGATTTGATCTGATAACTTGAAGTAGTTTGTGTCTGTACGAACACTGACTTTCAAATACATACTCCATATTTGAGAGAAATGTAATGGAAAAATATATTTATCATCAGTTCTGTTGTTGGATTGATCAGCATTTGAAGAGTCTTCATATACTGGCCTATAACAGAGTTTGTGTTTGTAGGTTTCTCTATCGTGGGCATGTTAATTGGCTTCCAGTGTGTCGTTGAGCCTCAGGAAGTAGTGGGAGCCCGTCAGAAGAAGAGGAACTGAGTGATTCTCAGCATCAGCATCAGCATCATCTCAGCATCATCTCCCAGCACACATCGTTTTCTGATGGCTCACTGGTTACATGCCTGTCCCCATAGCAACTGCTTGCCAAAACATATGAGATGCACGAACTACCTTTGTACTGCTTTAAAATCTGTGTGATATTCAAATAATAATACGTTTATATGGTTACTTGAAGTTTAATTGTCCAAAAGCAATTACAGTACCGGTATTATTTTAACTGAGATGCACGAATATCTTCATTTCTAATTGATATTTTTGTTTTAACTTCTTGTTTTGTTTCTAAATTGAAGTGCAAGAAACAATATAATATATATTGATGTTTAGTTTGTGTATTTACTAGTGCTGTCAAACGATTAAAATCACATCCAAAATAAAAGTTTTTGTTTACATAATATATGTGTGTGTGTGTGTACTGTGTATATTTATTATGTATACGCATACAGCATATATTTTGAAAATATTTACATGTATGTATATGTATATATTTATATTCATATAAATTATATAATCATATAAATATAATTTATAAACATAACATTATTTTAAATATACATGCATGTGTGTGTATTTATATAGACAATATATATACACTACACACACATTATGTAAACAAAAACTTTTATTCTAGATGCGATTAATTGTTTGACAGCACTAGTATTTGCATTTTTTTTTTTTATATCAATGTTGATTTCTGACCCTTTGTATTAAAAAGTTTGGGCACTACTGTTTTCTAATGATAGTGCAGTGATGGAAACTGTGAAATAACACGATTGTAAGTCTGAAAGCCTGACACATTTGAGCTGCTTCTGTGTCTAAATGACAGCTCTGAGCTCCTGAAGGAAAGTTTGTAGTTACGTTTATATTTGTTTAAATAATGAATGTCAAGCATTCAAGCAGAAAGGGTTTTAATAGGTGCTGTTCATGAGTGTTTATTTCTGGTCATGTCTCAGTGGTTTCTCTGTAACGCATGTGGAATAGTTTACATGACTCATTTACAGTTTAGTCACTAGTTATCACTTTATTACTGAATGTCAGATTTAATTTACGACACCAAGAATTCCTAGATTATATACAAAAATGTTTCTATACAAACAATAACAGTACACAGGACTACATCCACACACGTTTCTAACATGAACAATGATCTGATCACAACACGGCTGTACATTGAAACTAACCAACATTGAACATCTCTACACACTGAAGTCTGAGTTGTGACTGATCATCTATTTTGCTCAAAATCTGTGTAAAAACTGATATCAAAGCCACTTTTCTGTACAGACATCTATGACTGGTATGATTTATTACACAGAATCCATGGCATCTCAAAAATAAATATTGCTGATTTGCCCAAAAATGTGTCGCATATTACCTTCCATCACGTATAGCTTTAAAGCATTTACCAAAGTAACAAAAGCAGTCAAATGTAAAAAGTTAATGACAAAAAGTATTTGACCAGGTCTCCCTGGAAGAAGAGATTGTGAAGTCTCAATGGGATTCTCCTGGCTAAATAAAGGATCAGAAATCTATCTTTCAACTTAGAGTCTGCAAAGGACTGGAAAAAGATGTTCGAACTCTCTATATGTGACCCTGGAGCACAAAAGCAGTGTTAAGTCGCTGGGGTATATTTGTAGCAATAGCCAACAATACATTGTATGGGTCACAATTATAATTTTTTATTTTCTGCCAAAAATCATTAAGATATTAAGTAAAAATTTTGTTCCATGAAGATAATTTGTAAGTTTCCTACTGTAAATATATCAAAACTTAATTTTTGATTAGTAATATGCATTGCTAAGAACTTCATTTGGACAACTTTAAAGATGATTTTCTCAATATTTAGATTTTTTTGCACCCTCAGATTCCAGATTCTCAAATAGTTGTATCTCGGCCAAATATTATTAGTAAAAGTAAAAATATTTGTAGCAATAGCCAACAATACATTGTATGGATCACAATTATAATTTTTTATTTTTTATTTTCTGCCAAAAATCATTAGGATATTAAGTAAAGATTTTGTTCCATGAAGATAATTTGTAAGTTTCCTACTGTAAATATATCAAAACTTAATGTTTGATTAGTAATATGCATTGCTAAGAACTTCATTTGGACAACTTTAAAGATGATTTTCTCAATATTTAGATTTTTTTGCACCCTCAGATTCCAGATTCTCTAATAGTTGTATCTCGGCCAAATATTATTAGTAAAAGTAAAAATTAAAATTGTGGTCCAGGGTCACATTTAATCTCTTAAACTTCACATAAACACATGTTTATGAATATCTTATTTTTTCCCCACAAAATCCATAATGTTCTGTGGATGCAGGAAAAGCAAAAAAAAAAAAAACATCCGACTCGTGTTTGCATTTTCTTCTATCCATAATTCTGACCTTAAAATCAGGATTAGGCTGTCAGGGTTGGGGATAAAGGATGGAGCAAGGACTCAATAGTGCAGGAAGATAAGGGCTTTATTAATAAAATAAAAACTTCATTTGGACAACTTTAAAGATGATTTTCTCAATATTTAGATTTTTTTGCACCCTCAGATTCCAGATTCTCTAATAGTTGTATCTCGGCCAAATATTATTAGTAAAAGTAAAAATTAAAATTGTGGTCCAGGGTCACATTTAATCTCTTAAACTTCACATAAACACATGTTTATGAATATCTTATTTTTTCCCCACAAAATCCATAATGTTCTGTGGATGCAGGAAAAGCAAAAAAAAAAAAAACATCCGACTCGTGTTTGCATTTTCTTCTATCCATAATTCTGACCTTAAAATCAGGCTTTTTCCCCCACGGGCTCGTTTTTGTTGTTGGTTTTGTTTTATTTTATTAATAAAGCCCTTATCTTCCTGCACTATTGCACATGTGGGGCAAATTAACCAATAATCAGGTAACAAGATGGGTGGGGCCAAGACAATTGACATGAGAGCACATGGCACACAGGAAACAACGACAAATGCCATGTGCTCACACAAAATTATCTTGACCCCACCCATCTTGTTACCTGATTATTGGTTCATTTGCCCCACATGTGTTCCCTCGTTACCCTCCTCATTTGCTCTCCATTTACTCTCCTTGTGTTTGCAGTCTCGGTTCAGTTCATTACCATATCTCCCTGTGACTCCCAATGTGTCCTGTCGTGTCGAGATCCTGCCTTGCCATCCTGTTTTTCCCCCACGGGCTCGTTTTTGTTGTTGGTTTTGTTTTATTTTATTAATAAAGCCCTTATCTTCCTGCACTATTGAGTCCTCGCTCCATTCTTTATCCCCAACCCTGACAGTACGAACTGGCCAAAGATGAGGACTCAGCGGAGGAAGGGCTTGCGCCGTACACCAGCCTCCACTCTCCAGCCATTAATAAAATAAAACAAAACCAACAACAAAAACTACCCCGGGGGGGAAAAACAGGTTGGCAGGACACCGACACCGACCAGAGAGATATGGTGACAAACTAGCCCAGGCCTGCAAACACAAGGACAATAAATAGAGAGCAAATGAGGAGGGTAACGAGAAAACACATGTGGGGCAAATTAACCAATAATCAGGTAACAGATTGGGTGGGGCCAAGACAATTGACATGAGAGCACATGGCACACAGGAAACAACGACAAATGCCATGTGCTCACACAAAATTATCTTGACCCCACCCATCTTGTTACCTGATTATTGGTTCATTTGCCCCACATGTGTTCCCTCGTTACCCTCCTCATTTGCTCTCCATTTACTCTCCTTGTGTTTGCAGTCTCGGTTCAGTTCATTACCATATCTCCCTGTGACTCCCAATGTGTCCTGTCGTGTCGAGATCCTGCCTTGCCATCCTGTTTTTCCCCCACGGGCTCGTTTTTGTTGTTGGTTTTGTTTTATTTTATTAATAAAGCCCTTATCTTCCTGCACTATTGAGTCCTCGCTCCATTCTTTATCCCCAACCCTGACAGTACGAACTGGCCAAAGATGAGGACTCAGCGGAGGAAGGGCTTGCGCCGTACACCAGCCTCCACTCTCCAGCCCTCTCTATGAACGCATGCTCCAGTTCAAGTCCTTGAGCTCCCTCCATCAACAGGGGGCTGACCTGAGGGAGTTCACCCTGGAGTTCAGCATAACTGCAGAGGGACTGGGGTTCAATCATGCGGCCCTCAAGGACCCCTTTAATTATGCCCTTGATGAGCCCCTCAACTGGTGGAGGATGAGAGGGCTGGATCACCTGTCACTTGAGGGATTCGTCAAATTCCTAGCCCGTCAGGGGAATCTTCTGGCCAAAGAGGCTGCAGCGCCCCCAGCGACTGCCGAGGAATCTGCAGCACCCCGGAGGTGGCCGAAGAGGCTGCAGCACCTCGGTCTTGTAAACGGAGGAGGGGTAGGAGGAAGAATGGCTCCGCCTCACCACCCCTAGAGGCAGCAGATAAGGCTGCAGCACCCTCAGCGGTGCCTGATGAGATTGCAGAGGTGGCCGAAGAGGCTGCTGCGCCCCCAGAGGTGGCCGACGAAATTGCAGTGCCCCGCTCTCGGAAACGGAGGAGGAAAAGGGCTTCCTCCATCCCACATGGCCTGGAGGCCGTCCCAGACCCTCCAAAGCTCCTTGCCCTGCCGGCTCCACCCAAGCTCCTTGCCCTGCCGGCTCCACCCAAGCTCCTTGCCCTGATGCCGGCTCCCTCCTTGAAAGGGGCTCCACCCTTCCTGCTTGCCAAGCTCCGCCTTGGCCCCCTGTCAGGACTCCAGAAGCGCTAGAGCCCATCTGGTCAGTTCCACCGGCCCCGCCCCGGACATCCGCCAGGACTTCTGGACTGCCTGAGCCTCCCTGGCTCAACCCTCCCGCCCCTCCCTGGTCCCTCCAATGACTTTCTGGGCTGTACTGCTGGCACTGGCTTGGCTCCGCTCTTTGTCTGTGTTTAGATTTTTCCTGTCTTGTGTTGCCTGTTGTGTATCGGTCTTGTGCTGTCATGTTCCGGTCTTGTTTTTGGGTGTTCCTCGTTAGGTGGTGTCCCTTTTGAGGGGGGCTAGTGTCAGGGTTCTGTCACTTCGGTCTAGTGTAATTCATGGTTTTGTGACAGAGCCCTGACACTCGCGTCATGTCATTGTTTTCGTGTGAGCATGTGGCTTCGAGAGGGCTCGAGCCGCGCGCTCTCATCTGCGTGTACGGTTTCATGTTGGAGCGTGGTGTTCAGATCCCGGCACTCATGTCTTTGTGGTTGTGCGAGCGTGCAGTCTCGAGTTCGCTCGGCCGTGCACTCTTCTGCCCACGTGTGTTGTGTTGTGTAGCGCGCGGTTTGTGTTCAGCTGCGTGCTTTTCTTGTTGTCTTGGGTGAACACGTGGCTTATGAGTTTTCTCATTAGCTGCGTGTTCGTGTCTTTTTGTTCAAGCACATGGCTTGTGATGGTTTTGCTGGCCTTGTGTTTTGTCGGAGCACATGGCTTTTGTCTTTGTTTCCTGTGTGCCATGTGCTCTCATGTCAATTGTCTTGACCCCACCCATCTTGTTACCTGATTATTGGTTAATTTGCCCCACATGTGTTCCCTCGGTACCCTCCTCATTTGCTCTCCATTTATTCTCCTTGTGTTTGCAGTCCCGGGCCAGTTCGTCACCATATCTCCCTGGATGTGTCCTGTCGTGTCGAGATCCTGCCTTGCCTTGCCAGCCTGTTTTCCCCCACGGGGTAGTTTTTGTTGTCTGTTTTGTTGTTTTATTAATAAAGCCCTTATCTTCCTGCACTATTGAGTCCTCGCTCCATCCTTTATCCCCAACCCTGACATAGGCATCAAATAATCTCATGCACATGACAATGGGCTGAGAATTGAACAAAGTTGTAATGTGGCTCAGACAGGATTCATGCGTTTGTAATTAACAGATAATGCGAGACGTCTTAAACCTCTTCTTTGCTTCAGCAAAACGAATCCAGTTTTTGGAATCAGCAGTCCAAAATGAGTAAGAGAAAATCTTGGATTTCATTCTGCGTAATCAATCGCACATTACACTGCAACACACATAAACATTGCAGATGTTCCCAAAATAAATTGCGTTCTAATTCCCTGTGTTCTGCACCGTTGTTGTTTAGTATTGCATTTGAGACGTGAGTATCATCACACATCTCCACTGACCACTGATGCGCTTTCACAAGGCGCTCACACATTTAAAGCACCATATATTGAATTGATGGTTTCATTGAAGGACTTTGACCTTCCATATTAACCTGAACACAGAGTGAGATCTCCTGAATCAGATCTAGATGTGTCAGTCACAGAGACACTTTATACTAGATTAGTACTCATAACTAAAGTTTAGGTCCGCTCTAACGGACCATCATGCAAACATCATGATACACATGGCGTAGAAAATTACACATTACAACATGAAACATGAGCAGTTCATGTGAATTGTTCATAAATCCATACTTGTGTGAATTGAATGTAACGGCCTGCAATTTTTTGTGCTTGTGTTTCACAAATGATTCCCACTGAATGTTGTGACGTGGGAGCACTGAAGGAACAATGTAAAGTTAGAAAACGTACTTTCGGTTGTGCTTGAGTATGTAAACTGAGCTGTCATTGTTCAGGATATTGGCTGTGTAGGAAGTTCAAGAGGATTTATGCGTATGATGGTTCATATGGAGTTGTGATGCACACTGAGAGTGTGATTCCGATGGTTTCCGTCTTTACATCTTCACCTCTTTTACCGGTAACGATTTTCCATCTTGGGGATGTACGGATGAGTCCTGAACAGAAGAAACAAACAGGGTAAATTAAGCCTCCGTTCACATTCGCTACTATTCCTCAGTAAGGGACTAAAATAATTTTGATATAAACTAACATTAAAGAAAATGCACTTCATGCAGAGAGAAATTGACTGTAGAAATCTAAAACTGTACAAATGAACCAAAAAAAGTAATAGATAGAAATAGTCAAGTCAAATTTATTTGTAAAGTGCTTGTCACAATCCTTTTTTTTTTAAAGCAGCTTTACAGAAAATCATGATGTTGATGTTCTGTTCATAATATCTTAATATCTTCATGCCTTTTAGTCACAGTTAGCATTTTAGACCTAGGCAATGATATAGTTTATATTTTGAGATTTGATATACTGTGTGTGTGTATACACTCAATGTACAACCACATTTCGTGAAAAAAAATTAAAAATAAATCAGGCAGATTTTTGAGTAGAGAGTATATCGTTTTATGCAACTCTACTGTATGTATGTGAATAAAGTTCATATCCATTTAGAATCATATCTATTACATGCTTATTCACAGACACACATCTCAAGAATGCTCATGTTTGGCAAATTCAGCTGAAAATTCATTGGTGTGCTTACTGTTTGATCTAGTTTACTGACCAAACTAACATATCTGATATGCTTTTTAAGAGATGTGTGTGCAGTTATTACTATATTTATATGCATCTATTTTTTGTTTATTTTTACATTTGATTATTTTACCTGATTTTCACTGGCTGCACAGTTTTGTTGGTTTGTAACTTACAGTATATTCGCCTCTAGTATAGTCAAGTTCTTCCCCATAATTTTTTGTGCCATATGGACACTGTGTTTATTTTTGTTCTTTCTCTTAAGATGACAAAAACCTGAGGTTTATGGAAGGTTTTACTATTTCTCTCCCGACACAACAGGCTCTTTTCTTTGAGTGCATTAACTGTCAGACTCTCACAGCTGAAGCTCTCTCATGCAGTTTGATCCTGAGTTTATCCCGTCACTGGTTAAGGTCTCCCTGTCCGATGAAGTGAACTCCCTGTCCTTGGCCGTGGCCTCCAGCTCTTTCTGCTCCGCTGTCAGACCTAATCGTCCCGTCATAACACTCAGCCTGACCGCAACTTCACTGGGCTGAAGGACAACTACAATAACTGGGCGACTGAAACATTTACACAAATAATCATGGGACATTCTGGATCCTTGTCACCAGCCTTGTGCTCTTACCACTAGATGGCCACATTGAGTTTTTTTTATTTTTATCCAATCATCTGATCATCTGTTTGCACTCATCAGTTCTTCTGTTGTTCTTCTTATTTTTCTCTCTTTTAATTTCTACCCTGATTCCAGACCCCAGTGATCTGTGTGTCTTTGTATGTATGGATTACATCTGGTGAAAATTTCAAGTCAACAGCACCTTTAGAAATATATTTACTGAGAAAAATGGTGACGTGACTTATTTTACCCGCTGTATATTTGTTACCAAATATTGGAGTCAATTTATCAACTTGTTTTCTTTCAGTTAGCACAGGTTTTGTACTGATTGGTCACTGGCCTCACTGATCTGAGCTTATGTACCTCAGTTTATGAGCGAACAGTTCCAAAATGATGCACTGACTGAATTATTCACTTCTCAGACGCTCCAAGACCCAGTAAACACCAATTCAACATTTAATCGATGAAAACGTGCCAACCAACACCAACAGAAGCCGACAGAGCTAACACTGGGTCAAATAGAGATAGAGATAGAGATCAAATTAAAACATACTTACAGCGATCACCTCTCTCTGGGATTGACTGTTGGCCTTCTGTCGCCGCAGGTCAGATTTTATAAGCACTGTGAGGCAGAGAGACATAAACTGATAGTTTGAAGTTAAAAGTAACATATTTTTAAATTGTATTTACATTTATGCATTTGATACATGCTTTAATTCAAGGTTTACACTTCATCAGTTCATGCATTCCCTGAGGTAAAGATTTTGCTGGCTAGCATGGTTCAGTTAGTTGACGCTGTGACTACCATACTGGGGGCAAAAGTATCTTTCATAAATTACAATATTTCATTATTAGATGCTTGCTCTCTAAGAGTGAAATGGACTTTTGTTGTGAAATTCTGCCATGTTTTTATACTTGTGCACGAGCACTGGCACATGTGCACTTTGGTCAGAGTGGAAGAAATGTGATGTAAGCGTATACTGTGACAAAGCTGAGAAAAGTTTAACTTTTCTCTAAACAGACACAAAATATTTTCCTTCCAGAATGTTGCATTTTGATAACACATTATTTTAATGTGACATCGTTACACTTGTTACATGTACTTGCTATAGTGAAAACTGTAAATTATGCAAAATTACAAGCAACTATCCCTAAACCAAACCCTAACCTTACAGTAAATGCATGATGTTAATTAATAATGTAGCATGGCCACACAAGAGGGAGATATTTACAAAGCTGTTGATAAAATGCTAATTTGATTGTTGATACATCTCAGCTGTTATCGTTGTCCCTTTGTTTGTTTTTCCCTGTCGAGTGTTGTGGACCCTGTTTCTTCTCCCGAGAGTTCCGTCATGACGCGCCAGGGAATCTCCTGACGTCATCTGAATCTGCTGATTTTACACTTCCGATAAAAGAAGCCGGTTTATCAGCATTCGAGCTGGGGATTCTCCTTAAGGAATAGTCAAACTTTATCAAAGGACAGCCTGTTCCTCTACGTGCTCCCGGACTCACTATACTTCACCGGAGAGGCCGAACCGAAAACACACACACACACACACACACACACACAACATTGGACTTTAAAGGACAGTTCGAACGCACGCCCATTCATTTATTGTATATACAGTATATATTGTTTTTTCGGTGTGTCTTTACATTTAATATACTTTGGGTTGGCATTCAATCTTGATACCTGTGCCGTTTATTGTGTCTTCACTCATTCAAACAAGCTTTTTAAAGAGGTAAAAGGACAGTTTTATTTAGGCCAAGTGTTACATATTGGTGGCCCATATGGGGACCTCTTTTGTTGTGTTCGTTTTGATTTGTGTAATTATCAGGATAGATGTACCTAATACTGAAGCAACGCTCAACATGCTCATTTTGGAATATAATCAATGCTCGATCGTCTCATACACTCTGCTGTTTTTTTTTGCTGTGACTCTTGGGATTCTCCTTAAAGAATAGTCAAACTTTATCAAAGGACAGCCTGTTCCTCTACGTGCTCCCGGACTCACTATACTTCACCGGAGAGGCCGAACCGAAAACACACACACACACACACACACACACACAACATTGGACTTTAAAGGACAGTTCGAACGCACGCCCATTCATTTATTGTATATACAGTATATATTGTTTTTTCGGTGTGTCTTTACATTTAATATACTTTGGGTTGGCATTCAATCTTGATACCTGTGCCGTTTATTGTGTCTTCACTCATTCAAACAAGCTTTTTAAAGAGGTAAAAGGACAGTTTTATTTAGGCCAAGTGTTACATATTGGTGGCCCATATGGGGACCTCTTTTGTTGTGTTCGTTTTGATTTGTGTAATTATCAGGATAGATGTACCTAATACTGATCCAGTTACTAATGTTAATACTGTGAATACTGTGAATACAGATAATTCAAGTACACCTGTAAATGACCAAGAGAATGTTGAACAACCAGATGTGGATTTTACTGCAGGCCCATTTGTTACTAAGCGCAATACTACTGCTGAAATAACATCTACTGTTTGCTTAGCTCATTGTACATTTCTGATTCTGATCAGTCTGATGATGATGATGATGAAGGGAGCTGTATTGTAAATGCTGGATTGGTACAAACAATGCAAGCAGACGTAGCACAGGTAAAAGATTTATTTGCTCTCAATCAAAAAGTACAAACTCTAGAGCATGATTTCAAACAGTCAGTGGACAGTACACTGAATCGGGAGACCAGTTTCAGGCAGGCCGTGGACACTAGCTTGGCTGGGTTGGAGGACTATTTCCTAAACTCCTTGGAAAAATTAGAAAAGGCTGTAACAGATAGTTTTCTTAGGAGAGATGCTAAATGGTAAAGTCAAATTAATAAAGTAAGTACTCCCACACTCTCCAGATTACAGACCTACTCACCAGCTTCCTCCCACATTTCTCCTGTCCATTGTCCACAGACCCCAATGCCGCTTGCTAAAGAGAAAGTTCCTACTCATAAAGCTCAAAATACTACCTATGATATACCTCCTCCTGTACATATTCACCCACCTAATGCGCTTACCTCCTCAGTTATGGCTGGTTCATCCTCATTTTGTGCTTGGCCTCCCATCTGCCTAGAGTTCCCCTCTTTCGGGCGAATCCTGTGAGACAGCGTAGGTGCTTAACTTCATCAAGCAATGTGAGAAATTTCTGGAGATCAGGCCTCTCTGCAGCATTGAGCTCATTGGAACTCTGCGGACAGTCCTGAAGGGACCCACTCTGAGCTGGTGGAAAGCAGAGAAGGCTAAGATAACAGATTAGCAATCCTTCAAAAAGTCATTCATGGCGGCTTTTCTTTCAGATGATTACCTCTCTGAAGTGGAGGACAATGCCTGAGGGACTTCGCCTATGATTACTGGGCTCTCTGTTTGAAATGGAAGCCAGAGATCTCAGAGGATGAGCTGGTGAACTGCATCCTGAACAACATCAATCCTAGGGTTGCAGGGTGTCTACGGGGGACAGTGAACACCGTAGAGCAGCTGGTGAAGGTTGGGTCAGTGGTGGAAAAGGATTGCATGGGAGCGAAGGACTACTGGCAGAAAGTCGGTACCCAGGGTCCTGGGTAAAACTTCAGTCGTACAGTACAGGATCACATTGACGGATGACATACCTTTCAATCCCGTGCATACAGAGTTTCTCCCCTCAAAAAAACAGATCATCGAGGAACAAGTTGACCAGATGCTCCAAGACAACATCATTGAGCCCTCCTTCTCGCCTTGGTCTTCACCTGTGGTCCTGGTCCCAAAATCTGATGGCTCGTACAGGTTCTGTGTGGATTACAGAAAGTTAAACAGCAACACCGTACCCAACACTTGCCCGATGCCTTTGATTCATGACATCCTAGAATCCCTGGAAGGCGCCTCCTGGTTCAGTGCATTGGATCTGCGGTCCGGATACTGGCAAGTGGAGATGGAGGAGGCGAGTAAAGAGAAGACCGCTTTTATTACCACCAAGGGGCTATTTCAATTCAAGTCTATGCCATATCGACGATATCATCATCTATTCAAAGACAATAGAGCAGCACATTCAAAATCTCAACACTGTCTTCCATAAACTCACCCAAGCCAACCTGACACTGAATATGAAGAAATGCCACTTCTTCAAACGACAGCTGAAGTTCCTTGGCCTCCGAGACTCTGAGAGGGGTGTGGAGATTGACCGAGAGAAGACCAGGGCTGTTGCAGTTTCCCCCACAGCAAGACCTTAAAGCTCTGCAAAGATTTCTGGGCTTGGCAGGGTGGTATCATAAGTTCATACCCCACTATGCTGACATCATTCAACTGCCCCAAAACCTCTTCACGCTGTGCACGCTGGACTCTCCGACTGCATCAATTCAACTTTCAAGTCCATCACAGGAAGGGCTTCCTCAACATTGGTCCAGATGCGTTATCCCTGGTATATAAGCCACATTTTACTAATGCTGCCCCTTACCTTTCAATTTCTTCTCATCACTCGACGACCTTACCACACTCATTTGAAGAAATTGATAAAGCTCAAGGTTTGGACAATGCCACCGCTCACCTGCAGTCTGGCATCCAACCTCATTCAGTCAAAGAACAGCCCATCACCTTTGAAGACCACCAAGGAGTGTGGTACCACAAAGTTCCTTTGAAAAATAAGGGAGAAAAGTATCAGCTGGTAGTACCACAAGCTCTAATAACTGATTTCCTGCATTACTACCATGACAAACCTCTAGGAGGCCATCTTGGGCAGTTACAAACCCTGCTGAAAATCTTAGAGGTGGCATGGTGGCCATCCATCTTTATTTTAGAAATTTTAGAAAACATTGTGTCTGCGCAATTGTGCTCCTTCCTGCAAAAAAATTATCTCTGTGAGGAATTCCAGTCAGGTTTCAGGCCCCAACATAGCACAGAAACTGCACTTGTTAAAATTACAAATTACTTGCTTCTTGCATCAGACCAAGGCTGCATCTCATTGCTAGTTTTACTTGATCTTAGTGCTGGGTTCGACACTATAGATCATGACATACTCATAGATCGATTACAAAACTATACAAGTATTCAAGGGCAGGCTTTAAGATGGTTTAGATCCTACTTGTCCGATCGCTACCACTTTGTTCATTTAAATGGGGAGTCATCTCAATTATCACCAGTAAAATATGGAGTGCCACAAGGATCTGTCCTAGGTCCTCTGCTATTTTCAATATACATGTTTCCCCTTGGTAGTATTATTTGAAAATATAGGATTAGTTTCCACTGTTATGCTGATGATACTCAACTATATATCTCAAAAAGACCAGATGAAACTTCTAAATGATCTAAGCTAACAGAGTGTTCAAATGTAAAATATTGGATGACCAATCATTTATTCTATTTAAATTAGGATAAGACAAAGATATTACTTATTGGACCAAAAGACAGTACACAGAATCTCTTGGTTACAATTTTGCAATAAGACGGATGCACGGTTACCTCCTCTACAGTCAAAAATCTGGGTGTTATATTAGATAGCAACTTGTCTTTTGAAAATCATATTTCCCATGTTACAAAAACAGCATTCTTCAATCTTAGAAACATGCCAACTTATGAAACATGATACCTGTTTCTGATGTAGAAAAGCTACTTTTCAAAATCATATTTCCCATGTTA